AAAAAAAAAAAAAAAAAAAGAAGGGCCCTATTCTTGAGGTTTAATGCTTTGTGGTCACCATCTTGAAATGCTTAATAATTTTATCTTTGAGTTTGTGTTTTATAATTGAAGTCCTATGGGACAGTTGGGCTTCAATCAAGTTGCAGTTCATGTATAGTCTCACATCCTGCTGCTCACTGGGATGGGTTTGCTAGTTTTCATGGTTCCCTCAGCCCAGTCTGGCTTTCTTTTCATCTCCCAGAATAACTGCTGCCACTTTCTGTACCTGGCAGGGGCTTGGGCACTGACAAGAGAAGCTTGAGCTCAGGCAAGCACTGCCCCATAGTGTCTTCAGGCAGGGCAAGGGGAACCTCCCTGCTCTGACTGGTGCTGCTCTGTGTGTCTAGTGGATGACATGGTGGAGGACGGCCTTCCCACCACTGCCAAGCCAAAGACCAAGCACATCCCTGTCTGAACCTGTAATCCAGGAGGTTGCCAAATTGCTGTGGGTTAAAATGATTGCCCCATGGCAAGGGGAGATGCCAGGCTTAACTTCCACATCTCCAGACAGCCCACAGAGACTTAGTTCCACTGCTGGCCAGAGAGGAAACCGAGCAGCTGGTGGCCACTAGTGGACCAGATTGGAGGCTTGGCCCCTAGTAAGGGGGTGCCTGTCAGCCAGGATCCTTGAGCCCAAAGGAGAGTGACATTAAGAACCCACTACAGGGGCCGGGGATTTAGCTCAGTGGTTCCACCACCTGCCTTGCAAGTGCAAGGTCCCAAGTTTGATCACTGGTACCAAAAGAACCCACTACAGCTTGAAAGACCACAGAAGAAGGAAAACGTTTTATATTTTACTTTTATTTTCATTTTTCGAATAAGAGCCCTCACATTTTCGTTTTGTGCTGTGCTTAGAAAATTATATGGCTGGCCTGGTAAAGCATGACCCTTTTAAGTGGGAGCATTTACTCACTTTTCAGCTTATTATTTGTACTACTTCTCACTTAGGTTACTTCCTCAACCACTTTAGGACTTGTATTTATAATCCTGTTACATGTTTCACTAAAAAGTTAATGAAACACAACTGTACTATAATCTAAAAGACAGTTCCCACATGGATTCTTATTTTTTCACTGTCTTCAGCATTTCCTTAGTAAATAAATACACCAATTTAATTTTTCATAAAATCCTCAATTTAGCTGAAAGTACAATGTCACAGCATTGTTTGGTAAATAAAAGTAGCCCTGGTTTTGATTCATTTTACAATTGGAGGAGGGAAAGCTAAGCTTGAATTAATGAGCTCACAACCATGTAAGGACACAGGTAAGTGATGGTGATTCAGAGAGGTCTGTAAGTACACTCACTACTTACCATCTTTGTGCCTCAGGCATCCATCATTGGGGGGGTGGGGGTGATCCTGATTGAGCCTCTTTTGGCTGATGTTGTGGAAAACCTTCCATGAAGATGATTGTGAATCATTTAATAACATAAAAATTATAGACTATGAGGGCCAGGGATTTAGGTCAGTGGTTCTTCTGCCTGCCCCACAAGCACAAGGACCCGAGTTTGATCCCCAGTACCAAAAAAGAAAAAAATTATAGACTGTGGGCTGGGCGTGGTGGCACACATGCGTAATCTCAGCACTCAGGAGGCTGAGGCAGGAGGAATGCCTTGAGTTTGAGGTCAGCCTGAACTACATAGTGAGATCCTGTCTCAAAAAAATATAGAGACTATGATACCACTAAAATTGTGTTAGATGGCCTTCCTTGGTGGGAGATGCTGGGGATCAAACCCAGGGCTTCACACATGCTGGCTTAGCAGTGTACCACTGAGCTATACCCCCAGCCCCACTACTTTTCTAGGGTTTTCTTTAATTTGTATTTTTATTAGTGTATGTTTATAGTTCATAGTGATTACATTCATTGTGGGAAGTTGGTACATTTAACACATTTTAATTCTTTTTACATCCCTTTCTCCTTCTTCCTCTCTCCCTCTCTTCCCATCTTTTGGTGCATTTCTTTTTTTTAAGAGCTTAATATCCAAGTGACCCAGAATGTTTACATTTTTATTTCAGAAAGTAGATAGATCATTTTATTACTGAAAGCAATATAATAACAAAAGTTATATGTTTGTCTTTATACAGAACAGGTTTACTAATTTCTGAATGTCTTGGTTCAACTAAATTTAGACTGTCTTTTAAAGTATAATACCACACTTAAACAAGAGTCTTCCATGCTAAAAATTTTACAGGAAGTTGCAAACTAGTAATTAGGTAGCAAAGATTGTATACTAAGGGAAATGATTATATGTGGGATGAATTCTAAAAATAGTATCCTTTCTAAATAACATTCATCTCCTTTTTCAAAGCATCCTTGATTATTGATCAGAGAATGTCTTGAGCTGGCTAAGTTTTTATTGTCAATAATATTAGAGATTTTTATCTTATATCCATGATTCATAAAATACTGGATCCCTGTTAGTGTGTGAATCCTGAATTAAGATTCTACACCTTGATGAGAAACTATTTTAAACCATCTCCCTTACACTAGATTATAGTGTCTCCACAGGTACCATTTCTGTGTAAAAATAGATTTCCTTATTTTTAGTAAGTGTTCTTAGTTCATTCTCCGTGATTTTTCAATCTTGGCCTTCCTGTTTTGCTAGACAAAACAATACTGAGATGAGATAATCTGCTTGGGCTTAGTATATACCCTTTTCCCCAAGACCAGGCTCAGTATTTATTTATTTATTTATTTATTTATTTATTTATTTATTGTATTGGGGGTCGAACTCAGGACCTTGAGCTTGCAAGGCAGGTGGCAGAACCACTGAGCCAAATCCCTGGCCCAACCAGGCTCAGTTTTTATTTTTTTTCTCCACTTTCATGGAATAATGTCAGCTGTGGTGTTATGTTTTTCAGGGTGATCATGGCTATAAGCAATCAAAAGACACTGAAGAACGGCTCAAAGTTATCCCAAAATTTTGTTTTCCGGATTCAGAGGACTGGGTGCCAACTTCAGAACTCAAGAGGTAAATGAGCTATTTTATCTTCTTTCTATTTGTTGGAACTACAAAAATAAAACCAGAGCATTTGAGAAATGGGTAGAGCCAGAAGTGAAGCTAGGTGAACACTGACAGATCAAGGATGCAATGGAAGGAAAGGAAGAAACAGAATTACGACATTTCCTAAGTGGGGCTCAGAAGAATACAGAACAATTTTAGTGTCAAGTTTGAGAGTCTCTTCAGTTTTCCAGTTCTGTAGAAAAAAATAGTTTCACTTTACATAAAATAAGAAATGGGCCAGGGTGGACAGAAAGAGAAAAAAAAAAAGACTTGGACTTTGGGATTGTAGACCCAGAAACAGATAAAACAGAAGAATGTCCTCATCTTGTTTCTCCTTCAAGTTGATAGAAGAAGCCACAGCCCAGATTGTGTGTTCCCCTGTGGAGCTTGTTCAGTGGGAGGAGGTTCAGTTTGGGAGGTGTGAGTATATTAGGAAGGGAAGAATTAAAGCATTTTCTTTCATGTGTTAAAAACTACCGTTTTTAACTAATAAAACATCACTATCTCTGAGCTGCTTATAAATAATTAACTGCTTTATTCAAAACTGTGCTTGTAGGGCCAGGGATTTAGCTCATTGTTTTCCCCGCCTGCTACGCAAGCTCAAGGACCCGAGTTTGAGCCCTGGTACCAAAAAAAAAAATGCTTGTAGTACCAGCAATTCGAGAGTCTGAGGCAGTAGAATCATATGAGCTTGTGAGTTTGAGACCCACCTGGGCAACAACATAGCAAGACCTTGTCTCAAACAAAAACAAATAAAAGCGGTCTGTGTTTATTAGCAGTGTCTTTTAAGCAGAAGAGCTTTATTGAGTGAGCTATGTCACATTCCGATAACCTGCTGGATGGTAGTTTCAGCCTTTGCCTGAGAAGCTCTGCCCAGCCTCTACACTGAGCTGTCGTCTTTCATAACCAGTTTAGTCTGCTCACCTCTCTGTCTTCAACACTGGTGTCCTCATTTTATCAGTTCCACTGCTAACCACATGAGCAGCTTCTTTCATACTGACCTGGCTGCTCCATGCTGCTTTACCCCTGGGATATAAGTGCTTATTCTAGAAATAGATGAGTAAATAAAAAGCAGAAACTAGATATCACTGTTACTTAGAGATAATCAGTGTAAATATTTTGGCATATTCCCTTCTGATTTTTATTTTTGGCCATATGTCGATATGTGCAGGATTCATCATTCAAATTTATGTTTCTTTGATTATTAATGAGTTTTTTTCCTTGGGCATCTTTGGATCTTCTTTTTTTTTTGATACCAGGGATCAAACTCAGGACCTTGGTGGTTGCGAGGCAGGTGACAGCACCACTGAGCTAAATCCCCAGCCCGAGAATAAGATAGTCTTTGGGCCTAGACATTCCTTAGGAAGAATGTGACAATTTATGCAATAAATGTATTATCGCCTCCCCTTTTATCACAAAATGACTGCTATTCGACCCTATTTTCAGTTGCTTATTCCATGAGGAATGCCAAACGTGGTTATTTGGATCTCAGAATAACTGGATTATTTTTTCAGTGAAACTTTCTCGTTCGTTTTGACTGGTGAAGATGGAAGCCGGTGGTTTGGTTACTGTAAGAAGCTCTTGGTAAGTACCAGACTTGTGCTACAGACTGAGTTGGTCAAGGGACAATAGAGTCAAACTAGGATCTTTAAGAATCACTATTTCTAAATGTGTTTAAGGACTTTTTTCTTTTTGTTTTTGTTACTGGGGATCGAACTCGGGACCTTGTGCTTTTGAGGCATGCGGCGGCACCACTGAGCTAAGCCCCTGGTCCTGTTTGAGGGCTCTTAATAATCCGTGTATTAGCTTTATACAGCAAAAGAAAGGTGAAAGTTGCTCATGGATTGCTCCAGAATAGAAGGAGTAGGGATTTATTTTATTTGTTTGTTTGCAAGAGACATAGTGGCTGAACATCAGTGTAGATTTATTTTAAGAATGGAGTTCAAGCCAGTCAAGGGAGCACTGAGTTACCAACCATTTCTTCTTATTTAGGTGCCTGTACTACACCCGGAATAAATCATGCTATCATGTTCAGTACTTTTCTCATCTTGGCAGTGTTCACTGAGGACAAAGACCTTAGATCCTGCTCTGTACTAAGGGAATCAGGTGCAATGAATGCCCTTGTAATCCCAGCTTGTTATGGCTTGTGTCTAGATGTCCCCCAACACCTCATGTGGTCATAGGTGGCGCTTTTTCAGAGGTGGCTGGATCTAGAGTGTGCGACACTGGGATTGATTCATGGTGCAATGCTAAGCTCAAGGGTACTAGGGTTAAGGGTGTGAGTGCTGCCCTAAGTAGCCTGGATAAAATAAAAGGGACAGAAAGACACTGTTAAAAGTCTCTTGTTACTTTGCTACCTTCTGCCTGCTGTGAACTGTCGCCCTTCTATTTGTGCCACCCTGCCTTGAAGCCAGCCAGTTATGGGTGGAAACTCTATAAACTGAGCTAAATAAGCCTTTTGTCTTTTAAGTTTAGGTGTCAGATATTTTGTCTCAGCAGTGAGCGAAAAGTAAGACACAGCTACTCTGGATGCTGAGACAGGAGCGTTGCTAGAGCCCAGAAGTTGCAGACCAGCCAGGGTGACATAGTGAGACCTCATGTCAGGGAAAGAGAGAGGGAGAGAATACCACAAGAATATCAATAGTCCAGATTACTCAAAACTTGCTTGATTGTTGATATTTTCTTATAGCCAGAAAGCAAAGGAAAGCAACTCCCTGAGGTGTACTGCATGGTTAGTCGCCTAGGCTGCTTCAATCTGTTTTCAAAGGTGAGTGAAGCATTTGAATGATGAATGGGCTCTGTGAAAGGGGATGTTTTTTTCTGAGCTCTAAGGAAATTTCTGTTACTTATGACTTCACTAGACAATAGACTTTAACATACCACTTTAGAAAGGTTCCCTCTTGGTGGATTAGAACCAAAGCTAAACACCTTTCCTATCCAGCTGCCATTGCTGCATCATGTTCATTTTGGTTTCCTGAAACTCCCAGTTTTAAAACAACACAACCCAAAGCTTATCTTGTCTCATGTTTTTCCTAGACCCCAAATTGCACTGACAGATAACATTGCAATGTCAATTTCTTTGCCCCTTCATTTAGTGAAATGAAAAGGGACTCCTAAAAGATAAGTCGATTTATGTTAGTAACTTTCTCGGGGTATAAAGCTATCCTCAAGAGATATGATGCTCTAATGAACTTTTATATTTATTTATTTACTTATTTTGAGACAGGTTTTTGCTATGTAGTTCAGGCTGGCCGTAAACCCACTTTGTAGCCCAGGCTGGCCTTGAATGCACTGCAATCCTTCTGCCTCAGCCTCCCAAGCACTGGGGTTACAACCATGCACCACCACACCCAGCTGAAAGTTACCTGTTTAAATCCTATTGCTGTTATGTTCAATGTGTACACCTAGTTTGGCAGGTCCTATAAAAGGATTCTTTTATGTTTTTGAACTGAGTCCATAATAAAATACATGTTCTGTGTGTGTAGATTCTGGATGAAGTAGAGAAGAGAAGAGAAATGTCTCCAGCCCTTGTTTACCCGTTCATGCGCAGTGTCATGGAGGCCCCTTTCCCAGCTCCTGGACGTACCATCACAGTCAAGAGCTACCTCCCTGGTGCTGGAGATGGGGTAACTTAGCTCATTTCAAGAAGATTTGATACCATCAAAAAGCAGGTCTTGTACTGTAGGCCAGTTTCCAGAAGTTGAACAGCATAGTTTCTTTTGCCCTTTCTATAAACTAGAAGTATTTTTTTTTCCCAGAAAGCACTGGGGAAACATCTATAGACAGTTGAACTGTGACCCAAGACCTTTAAATTTCTTACCTATACATAGATTAATTAGGCTCTTCTGTACTAATAATTTCAGTGTGATAAGTGATGGTTATATATAATATTGTCAGATGGACTAAAGCATAGTACTAGTAAGTACAAAAAATAAGCTACAGTGTCTTGGGATTAGTGTAAGCAGCTTCACAGGCTCCCTGTAGACCCACAGACTTTTTATAATGGACCTTCTTTCTTGGCTGTAACTAGTATACGAATAAGAGGATCTGCTGGTGTTATCATTTGGGGTTGTTTTCCAGCATCAGCTCCCCTGAATCAAATTTTTACATTTCAGTCCATTGAACTCTGCCGACCACTAGATTCACGATTGGAACATGTGGATTTTGAATGCCTTTTTAAGTGCTTGAGCGTGTGCCATCTCATCCGGGTCTGCGCCTCTCTCCTTTTGGAGCGGAGGGTAATCTTTGTTGCCAACAGCCTAAGGTAAGAAAGAAATAAAGTTAAATAGGACTGACGATGTAACTCAGTGGTAGAGCAGCCAGCATGCACAAGGCCTTTGCACCACAAATATTAATATAAAAAAAGAAATAAGTGAAATATGTTACATCATACTGGTGTTTCACTTGTTCTTTTTTGTTTTGGTACCAGGGATTGAACTCAGGACCTGGTGCTTGCGAGGCAGGCACAGCACTATTGAGCTAAATCCCCAGCCGTGTTTCACTTGTTCTTACTATTTTAAAATTCAAGTATATTTATAAAAATCTAGAATTAGTCTCTAATTACCTAATGCTATAGTGACATGAATAATTCCAAATGGTAACTGGTCCTTTACATTAGGGTGTAACAATGACTTTTTTGCACTTCATGGATTTTCTTTATAAATGTATTTTTAGGGCTGGGGATTTAGCTCAGTGGTTTTGCCGCCTGCTGTGCAAGCGCAAGGACCTGAGTTTGATCCCCAGTACCAAAAAAAAAATGTATATATATTTTTACTTAAACTGTTGTTAAAAATTGGTACTACCACCCAGACGCAGAGGTTGACACCTGTACCCCCAGCTACTTAGGAGGCTGAGGCAGAATGATTGCTTGAGCACAGGTGGAGTTCAAGCTCAGACCGGCAACATAAGACATTACCTCTCTTTTTTTTTTTTTTTTTTTTTTTGGTAC